TAAGTAAAGAGAGTATGGTATTACTCAAGTGATCTATCTGAAAATGAAATACTTAGATCTTTGTCTTGTTAAGTAATGACTGATGGGACAACGATATGACACTGTTAGGTGTGCCTCCTAGATTATTTCTTGGTCTAATTTCATTCTGCCAGTATATCACTTAGACTAGTCTTGGTATTATAGGATCTTGAAATTGATAGTGAAATTGGGAACATCTTCAAAAACATATACATAATCGAAGGCTGACATTGATCATAGTCCACCTTCCTCCTTGCGCTTTCTCATAATGACTCAAGTCCCCTGACTTCACCACAACAATCAGTTAGGAAGCTAAAGAAAAGCATTCCTGGCCTACAAACACCAATTTTAGCTGCATTAGAGCATAGATCAAAGTAGGCTGTCATTAAATGCTCTAAAAGACAGGGTAACAACTTTTCATGGGTCTAATAGCTTTTGTGACCTGCCTGAATCTGGTGTATTTACAGCCCCTGGATGCTGCCTCTGTCAGGAAATCAGAATGGAGTAAGTATGTGAAATAATTGGGCACCAGTTTATTAAAAATTATCTCTGAAGAAATATTTTCTTATATGGGTTTTAAGATGATAAAAGACAAGGAGATACAAACAAGAGAATGAAAGATCCTAACAGAGGTGACTCTTTGGAGGGCGGTAGTCCACAGCAAACAAAGGAGGAAAAAACCAAAAAGCCCCTGTCATGTTGGCTCAAGAAAACCTCGGGAAGAAAGGCGGCGGAAGGCAGAATCAGTGCTACTGTGTGTCAATATTTCATTTATTTTTAAACAATTAATTTTTAAACAAAATTGTTCTCCAAATTTCTACTAAAATATAATTGTGCTGGCCAGACCCTGTATGAAGTAGTTGGCTCCAACCTGAATACCAAACCTTTAAAGAGAAACACAGAGCAGTGGGAATCCAAAAGTATATGAAAACAAGGATCCCACAAATGACTTCATAAGTTCATGGAAAGATGTGAAGGAAACATGAAATAATTGAAAAGTCGGGTGGGGAAAGGCTTCCCATTCTAAAGCTAGTGGAGCCACCTAGCAAATTATCTCCCTGGAACCCACAAACACAATTATGAGGCCAACCTAGGTTTTAAATTCCTTTAATTTTATAATTTCAACATAGACTGCAAACAAGGAAAATTTGTTGCTTCTAATAAACACTAATATTTTTGTGAACTTAATTGTTCAATATTATTGCTGGAAGAATATCAAGGTCAAAATTATCATAAATAAGGGATGAGGAGGTAGCTCAGGGGTAGAGGTCTCTTACCCAGCATGCATGAGGCCTAGGTTTGATCCTCACTATCACAAAACACACACACACACACACACACACACACACACGTGTGTGTGTGTGTACATACTCTATATATAATAAATTAAAATTTGACTCAATACAAGAGCTTTTAATAATTAAGTTATGTGGTAATAAAAACAAAAGCCTCAAAAACAGAAAGATCATTGTAAAAAGAAATATTCAGGCAGTGCTGAAAACTATGAACTGGACATAAAGTTGAACAATATATATTCATCTCTTCTAACCCTAACATGCTATGGTAAGACCACAGCATCCATCTTATCAAATACTTTCCTACAGATTCTCTTCACCATTTCTCACTTATGTTAATTGAGTATCATGGGATTTCATAACTTTGTTGTAAAATCCGAATTTGATTCATGCCCTCTGTGACAATGCATCAACTACTGTTGTGCATGTCCAGCTTCGTGTCTAGTTTGGGGTTTCTGCCGGTGCTGGATGATCCTCCCTTTGGTTATACTCAATATTATTATTTGGTTTAGGTCTCAGGGAAGCACTTTAAAGTTGCTAGGCTCCAGACAACTTTTCAATAATGCTGGTGATAATAATATAGGTGAAGTTGCCCACTCTCCTAGAAGGCAACTTGCTAAGAGTTTTGCATGCCTTGTTTCACTGAATCTTCCCAGCAACACCATGAGGAATATGTTATTATTCTATTCATTATATAAATAAGGAAACCTTGGGTGCTAAGTACCTTGCCCAAGATAATCAGAGCCAGTGTGGACACGGGCTTTGATCTGGCTACCTTCTGTAAAATACCTACCCTCAACCACCATTCTCTACTAAAGCAATTCTCAAAGTGTGTTCCCTGGACCAGCAACTATAAATCATCACCTTGAGTCTTAAAAATGCCAAGTCTTCCAGGTACTGAATCAGAAACTCTCAGGCCAGAGCCGAGCAATCTGTGTTTTAATAAGTCCCCAAGTAATTCTAAAGCCTGAGAACTACTACCCTACTAAATGGAAAGACCAATTTCTACTCACTTAACCATACTTATTTTATAATTTGAACTAAACATTTGAAGTAGCCCTTAATCTTTTTTTTTATAGAAGAAAGAAATTCCAGATGTGGAAGAGTCAGGCTTCCTTTTCTCTCCGGAAACAGAAAGGGTGATTCCGGTGAGTGGATTAGAGAACCTCTGCTTTAAAATATGGACAGGAGGGAAATAAGAAGGAAAAAGTACTTTCACAGTACAGTTAAGCCGTTGTGGTTAGATATGAAAAGTGAATAGACCTAGAAGGTCTTGAAATTCCCTTAGAGACTACAGAATAAATAACATGAATCATCTGCTTCGTCAAAACAGCTAAAATGAAAAACAAACAAACAAAAAGCAATCTTCCCACAGGCATACTTTAAAAAAAAAAAAGAACATAAATCTATACACTTTTGTCTTCTGGATGCATTAGTGGAAAAGTGTTTCCAAGGTGCCATAATCAATGGCAGTTACCATCAGCTTTCTGTGGTTTAAAAAAAAAAAAAGTCCTTTTAGCCTTATAACTCACGCTGCCTAGAATACACCCTTGGTCTTTCTTAGGCTTATCTCTACTCAGTAGCATAGTACGTGTAACTCAGCAAATCAGTCCATAATCTCTTTAGCATCTTCCTGCACGTGCAATTTTAAAGCTCAGGCATTGGCACAGATATCATCCTTTACTTCAAGGACTCTAGAGACTCTTTCACATTCTTGCATCTGGCTAGATACTAAATTTTCATAAGCCAGTGGGAATACATATGAGTATTATGTTAAATCTCATATAAAACAGAGTGGTTTCTTTACAGGTGCAGATTTACCTGAGAAAGGTAAAAGTGGCTTCCAGTCAGATGGAAATGATGTAAAACAGGAACTACCCTACCTCATGTGAACTTGAACCTAGTGGAGATGGCACACACTTAACCACCCAAAGATACAGTGAGTGAATCTCACCTGGAAACTGTGGCTAAGTAGAAAGGAAAAGCACAGGGCCCACTGTATTTTCCAAAGGTGCTCCTGGGTATCTAGGGTCATAGTGTTTTACTGTATCTGCTGTGTTGTCCCTTCTTCTAGAAGGGGCTATAGAAAGGCAGTGAGATGACATTCTGAAAGATGGTGGAAATAAGGGCTTCACCAATCCTTTAACAAAGAAATGTATATGAAGCCTCTACAAAGCTACCAGCACTCAGGAATGGACAGGCCAGAGAGATGAGCACAGGCCATGGTAACTCATAACAGGTCTAAGGAATTATCTATACAGCATTACCAGTGAAAGGTTTATTTTCACTCCATGTCCTATTACTTTAAATAAAAAACTAGAGAAGTTTTTTTTTTTAATTAAAATAATAGACCCTGGACATTGTAAGAATTCACTTTGCAAAAGGAAGGACCAACACATACTAAAGAGAATTCAGTGCTATCTTTCAACCGAAGATTCACTCCTTCCTTTCTTTATCTATTCATTCACTTACTTAGTAATAACAGAACAAAAACATGGCGAGCAGTATCTAGAATATGCCATCCAGCTCCACACATCCTTTCCTAAACCCTGCCCCAAAACAGAACAAAACAAAAACAAGAGGAAATGGACTCCAAGCAAAAGCAGAGTCTAGTTTTGCTGACATGAGTGATAACACCAGATGATTAACTTATTCCAACATGCTTCCAAGGAAGGCTGAACGAGCAATAATGAGTAATGCTAAGTCTGCAGGCAGGTCAAGTGCCTACCTGCCTGAGAGAGGAGGTTGAGGCCTGGAGGCCTCCCCCATCTGTGGTGTTAATTGCACTCATGGTATGAGTTGATTACAAAATGACCTCTGCCAAATGTCTTCTCAGACCAATGTAAAAATGCTACTAAAATTCTACTTAATAACAGACAACTATCGTTTGTAAAAGTAAGAAATGAACACTATCTAGTACTACATATACTGTACGAGGTATTTTGTGGACATTAACGCATTAAATCTTACAATCTGGTGGAACTCATTCACAACTTCATGAATGTAAGAGGCTGAACCAAAAGGTTGTAGGTTTGATGGAAATTGCAGCTGTTTAATTCTGTTTAGAGAGAGCATATATTGCCAACCTTACTAAACATGAATAGTGTTTAAAGGTAAAAGCACAACTTACCCTTGCCATATCCACCAAGAAGTTCTCAAATAATTTCCAAATGTGGTTACTTGTGTAGATTTCTTTCATTTCCACTTCAGTGTCAACATAACAGTGGTTAACAAAGTTCACATACGCAATTTTAACCTGTGTAAATTTCAAATTCAAAAGAAAGTTAATTTCTTTAGTGATCACTTTCAAATATCAATTACAAAAGGTTCAAATGTGTTAGTTCCTGTAGTATATTACCACATGTTTATCTACCCAGAATGCATAATGCATTCCCATTTCCTTTCTTTTGCCAGGACAATCCACTCCAATCCAGGGGTGAACATGTGATCTAGTACTGAGGTCTGTAGGCTCAGGGACTGATATGTGAATGAGCATTTCATGCAAACCAAGCCCCTCATCCTATCACAGAGACTCTAGGGGCCAGGAGTGCTCCCTTGAGTCTCTCTCTCTCTCTCTCTCTCTCTCTCTCTCTTTTTTATTTTTATAATCTTTATTAATATGTGATCATCTTCAAGGGTCTTACTTGCTAGCCTTATAAACAAATTTCTAAGGCAATTTTACAGTTCATTTGAAAGGTGATATCACATAACTCCTACAACCCTCGCCACT